TATATTAGTGATTTTTTAAATCTTTTGTTCCATGTCCTGTCTTTTAGTGTAGCAATGTTTTAAATGCCATTAAAACTAAACCAGGCCAAAGTTTGCTTTTTCCTCTTTGATGTTAAAAAGAAAAAAAAAAGTGGAGGGGCAGGAGGGAGGGATATAGGGGGAAGCTGTTCAATGAGCATCAAAGCACAGTATATACAATAACTTATAAGTCAGAGATCTGAAGTCAAATCTCAGCTTTGCTGTTTATTGACTTTAACAGGTAACTAACATCTGAATCTCAGTATTAGCATCTGTGAAACGTATACAATACCTTTCAGGATCTTACACCTAAAGCACTTAGCACAATGCCTGGCATTCATAGGTAATAAAATTTGTAGCCATTATTGTTATCACTGCCATGAATTCCTCCAAATATTTATTAAATAACATGGAAATAATGAGCAAAGAGTAGGGAAGACAGCACTGTAAGGGATGAGAGAGGAAAAAGAGCTTAAGTCATTGTCCATTTATTCATCATCTACCATCTTGGATGATGCCTAATGACTTAGAGAACTGAATGTGGAGGGAAGTCATTCCAATCCAGAGTCCTGGACCTGACGATGGAGGAGCTATGGGGCAGATGAGCCTAATATTTAATTGTGATACTGCCAGAGTGGTTGACCTTCATAAATAATCTACCTCCTTGTTTTGTGGGGCCAGATTCAAAGTTCTTTGTCAGAAACTTAAGCAATTGGTTAACCTATAGGAGTCATTTGAGAAGCTGTGATGTGTTTTTCTATATCATGTTTCATAGGTCATTACCAATTAAAAGTATTCTATGAGTAGTCATTATTAAATGTGTGAGACTGTTGATGCATACTAAAATTATGGTAAGTGAGAGATTCCATTAAGGTGCTTATTAATCCCGTGGTATAACAACAGTAAGCAGGAATTTTTAATCCTCAAAAGCTGCTGTTCTGAAGAGAAGTTCAAATAAAGCAGACAATGAGTTATTTGAGCTTCCTTCCCTGTGTCAGTGTGTACTCAAAAAGGCACTATTCATTCTTGAAGTATTCATGACCTAATAATGTTAGTGACAAAGGGCACGTTGTAGACACACAGATGGTGACTTCAGATGTGGTCTAATCCCTATGGATTTAGAATAAGCAAGACTATATAATAGGCATAGCCTCTCATTAAAATTTTCTGAATTGCTCACTAAAACTTTGTTGAATAAAGGGTATGATGTTAGATTATTTCCATATTCAAATCCATAGGAAATGGAAATATAGGCTGCTTTTTTGGGCAAAGAACTAGTCGATTGAGATATCCTGTGTTCAAAATGCTTTGGTTCAATTTCATTTTTACCCTGGGATAGACAATTGACAAATTTCACTGTACAGATCATATTCAAGGATGTAGTAAAGCAAATCTTCCAAATGTGAGGTAAAATAGATTGCACAATGTTAACACACACGTGACTCAATTAAGCAGCTTTTAGAGTTTCAGTATCAAAAGGATTAAATGAATCAATGGAAGTACATGTATATGTCTTTTCACAGTAATACAGGAATATGAAAATAATGGGACATAAACTGCAAAGTAATCCTGATAACATATGGAAAAACTTAAAATTCTACTGACTTTTAAAAAGATTTTGTCAAAAAACAAAAAACCTCTTACGTCAATTATAAATGTACAGGGAAATTTAAAATACAGGAAAATATTTGTTTAGTACATTGAGAATTAAAGAGTTTCATTGTAAAAGTCTTTTTAACAGTAGTTTGAACAGTGTTTGCCTTTTTCTTCTCGTGGTATAGTAAGCGGTGAACAGCTTTTCTATGTGTTGGAAATGGATCCAAACTTAGGACTATGACAATCCACCAGCATTGTAATCCTTTCAGCTTTTTATGTCATCACCTATCTGAGAGTTCCCTAAATGTGAGCTTTTCTCCATGTAAATTTTGCTCGGATGTCTGTATCTTTCTCCTCACTTATGTCAATAAGCCCAACTTCAGTAATCTGCTTGGATGCTTATCTAGAATCTTTCCAACGGCAGTAGTGTCAACATTCCAAGGGTCAGTAATTGCTTAGATTAACTCATTTGCATTGTATGCATGTTTCACTCTAGCATTATCGCTTTTCCTTTCTTTGCTGACCTTTCATCTTTCTGGGCCAACTCCATCTTTTGATTATCCAGGTTTGTAAAATAATTGCATGAGTTTACAACTGGGAAACAAAGTGGCCACACTTTGGTCACTGTGTACCTGTTCACACACAGACGACAATCACCTACTTCGAAAGAAGAGACTGGTCACTAATGATAGGTGTCTGCTATCCACTTAGTGATTAAGTGGACTACATAATTAGCTTGTGAATTTGTCCTTTATGCAATTACACACATTTAATACACCATGGTAACTGAAATTTGAACTGGTCAGAGGGATACTAATGTTGTTTAAACTGTGGAAGCAACTACTGTCAGACTAATCAACAAATATTTAATTGTCCATGTAATGCACATCAAAGCGTTGTATGAATGAGAAGTATGGATTATTAATAATAAAGGCATTCTGTTATGGAATACAACTAAGGAGAAAAATCTGCATAATTAACTATAATACTAGCTATAGCATGAGTACTAAATAGAGGTATAAACATAGGGCCATGAAAGCAGAATCGTGTAGTTCCAAAGTGAAAATTCTAAATAGCATGACTATTAAGCAATAAGAGCAATGATAATCAATACTTTCTAGCCCATTGTTTCTAACCCACAATTTTCAGAAAATTTATGTTCTGCATTGCACTTCAGGGTTGTACTACCTTACACAGCCAGTTCTCAAGATTATATTTGATCTCATTGAAGAGTAAATTTTGTCTTAGAAAAGGAAATATGTATTTTGAGAAACTAGTAAATGTTTCCACCCAGGAGGTTTCCGAAAAGTATTCAGGCACTGCTGAGTACATAAGCAAGATTTTTAAATCCTCTGCCCCTGACATCAATGCAACCCTCAATATCTTATTAGAAAACACACACACAGGTAAGGTATATAAATGGAAGACCGCAGATAAGCAATTTGAGAAAGGAAAAACTTACATTGTATACGTTCAGTGTCCCTTCTCTTAAGGGTTTTAGGCACATTTCTTCAGATGTTACTTGTCTTAAAACAGCTAAGTCTTCCTTCATAACTAAGGACACCAAACCGAAACTCATCCTGCCCTACTTAGAATGTTATGGCCAGGTGCAGCATTTTCAGATCTCAAAATCCAGGTTCATACTATATTAGTTACTCGTGCTGCTAAAAAATTACTCATTTCTTAAGGTTTCGTTCTGCTCACATTGAAGCTTTGGCTCAAAGCTCTATTCTCGGCTGGGCACGGCAGCTCACGCCCATAATTCCAGCACTTGGGCAGGCCCAGGCCTGCTGGTGCACACTTCTAGTCCCAGGCACTTGGGAAGCTGAGGTGGGAGAATCACCTGAGCCCTCCAAATCGAGCCTGGAGTGTGCTATGATTGCACTACTGCACTCCAGCTTGAGCAAGACCCTGTCTCAAAAAAAAAAGAAACCTGTCTCCCAAAAGCAGGCTATAATCGTGACTTCAGTAGTACAAAGAGTAAAAGATAAAGGTATGACCTCTTTCTCCTGGTGGTAGTCTCCCTGGCATGGGGGAGGAAGGAAAGAAAAAAGATGACTCCATTTGTACTTCAGTGGTGACCTTTAGTGGTGAGGGGTCATTGTCTGTTTGGTTAGTGTGAAGGGTTGTTCTAAAATTCTTATGTCCGAAGCGACCACTTTCTATCTTCCAGTCCTTTTATCATCAAAATGGCTGTGCCAAAGAGAGAGGCCCTTGTGGTGAACTGGCTCATCTCAGCAGGTTCCCTTGAAAGGTTCTGGCCCAAATCCGGATGATTCTCTCAAGATAGAAACTGAAAGTCTTTCAGAATCTTTGGCTCTGGGCTTTCAGCAGTAGCCTTCATTTTTATGAAATAAGATCTGTATTAATCTAATATATTGCAAATGAGATTGCAAAAGTTACAATTTCTATGGGTAGAAATTAAAATTCCACATAACTTTGACAAAAATACTATGCTTTTAGAAACTATACTATAGATAAACTTGTAGCATAATAATTATATTTATAATAAGGAATTAAAGACAATTGAAATATGGTTAAATTATATATTCATGTAATGGATTAAATGTCAAACATTAATGTTTTGTTTTCCAAGCATGTAGTCATTGAACATTTACCACTGAACTGGAACGACCTCCATGATACATTTTTACATTAAAACATAAAGGCCTGGTAACAAATAGAGCATGTGCTTCAGTTTGGGGAAAAAGTTGTATGTTCATAAGTGATATGTTAATGTGAACATAGTAAGAGGTTGGTATTAGCCTCATTTAAGAAATAGGATCATAGAAGCAGTGGTGGCTTACTGTGATTTGAACTCACGTTTATCTGAACCCAAATCACAGGCCCTTTCCAATACAGTAAGTTTAACCCCTGACTAATCTTTCCCAGGATACAGTTGACTTTTTAAAATGTTATTAGTAGGCCCTGCAAATATATTACAACAACTTATTTACATGTGGGTCTCCCCTAGCCAACTATGAGTTTCCTGAAGGTAGGTACCCTAACAAAGCTACCTTTCTGTTCCTAGTGCTCTGGTATGGCACATTGTAGAAGTTCTTAAAGTAATAAAAAGCAATGGTGCATCCTTGTGTGCAAGCAATGAATATAACTTCATTAAGCGGCTAGGAAATCAACTGAAGTTCTTTGATCCATCAAAGCAGTAACAGAATGTCTTAGGATTTCTGCAGACCAAATGAAATTTTAGTTCAGTGGGGTAATTATTACATTAAGCCTCAAACTTACCTATCAAACCTAAGTGAATATTATGCTATGAATGAACAATTCATTTCCAATAATAAATTTTATGTCTCATGCATAGAATGAAATTGTCCATTATTAACTAGTCTGAAAGTTCAGGCCAGCAAACCTCTGCTTATTTTCAGGTCTCTCCTCCAAAGATGCCGTGGGTCAGATATCTGTTCATGTGGACATCACAGCCACCCCTGGAACGAGCGATCATAAAGTCACTGTAAAAGGTATGCTTCAGGTCTAGATACATCAAAACAGCAATGCATCTTCTCTTGCATTTTTAAGTTTTAAAAAATATGCATAATTATTTTAGGGCATGCTCAAAATTTCCTAATGAAACCCAAGCTTTTGATTTAAAGTAGACAAATATCAGTGGCACTAATATTTAGCATGCATTATTCAAAACACATAAATACACTGATTAAATATCCAAACTAACTTTATCAGATATTTATTTTGTGGTTGGTGCCATGATATTCATTGAAAACTTGTACTTTAAATATTAAGTCAGGGGCCGTGCGCGGTGGCTCACGCCTGTAATCCCAGCACTTTGGGAGGCCGAGGCGGGTGGATCACGAGGTCAGGAGATCGAGACCATCCTGGCTAACACGGTGAAACCCCGTCTCTACTAAAAAAAAAAATTTAGCTGGGCGTGGTGGCGGGCGCCTGTAGTCCCAGCTACTCGGGAGGCTGAGGCAGGAGAATGGCGTGAACCCGGAGGCGGAGCTTGCAGTGAGCGGAGATGGCGCCACTGCACTCCAGCCTGGGCGACAGAGCCAGATTCCACCTCAAAAAAAAAAAAAAATATTAAGTCAGTATGTTCTTAACTATTCACAAAACCTACTTCTTTTTCTATGATTTCCAACAACTGGCTTAGAGTTTTTTATAATGAGTGGCTCGATTTGTTGGTTTTATATTGTAAAAGCAGCCTGAATGCAGGGGTAATTTCAAAGATGAAATTAAAGGAGTAACATTTTGTTCACAATGCACTCGTTCTATTTTTATATTAGTCACTTCCAGCAAAACCAGGATTGCCCAATATATTTCAGAATTATATTACACATTGTATCCTTACATCATGAAAGTAAAATATTTTACAAAAGATTATGTACAGTACTATATACTGTCAATTTCCTTAAATATTTTTGAAAAATGTGTTGCCAACATGTGAAAGGCAGTAGTGATTTTAATTAGAAGACTTCGCTTGAGGATGAGCAAAGGGATTTACACATGAGAATGTTCATTTAGTAATTTTTTTATGATGACTGAAATTTAAAAACAGTTATAATATCTAACAAGTGACTGCTTAATATAGGAAGAAATAGCCACAGAGCAAAATATTAGTAGCAATTGAAAAAATATATAATGAATTAGAAAATTAGCCACGCTAGACTTAAAAAAATAAAACTATTTATAAGATTGCAACACATTATAATATCATTTCGTATATAAAGTAACTAAATATTGAAAGCATACAATCCAAAATATTGTCATTGAATGGTAAATTTATAGATTTTATCTATTTCCTGATGAGCATATCTTAATTTTCAATATGAACAACACCATGTTTTTACAAGAGGAGGAGAGTGGTAACTTTTCATTAGTAACAGATGTCATTTTAATTGCAGCTAACTTTTCACCAGTCACACAGCTTGAAGCTGAAAAGCTCCATCAAGTGTGCATTCCAGAAAGAAAATTGTGTTTTACTGGAGTCCAGTGTCTTGTCATTGGGGTTAGGGCAGTATTATTAACTTGTGACTTCATAAATCACTTTTAAAAATGCACTCTAAATTTCCACACATTTGTTTGCTAAAATGTGATACTTCCTTTCCTTTTTTAGTGATTGCCATTAATGACCTAAACTGGCAGACCACAGCCATGTTCCGCCCCTTTGTGGAAGTTTGTATACTGGGACCGAACCTTGGAGACAAGAAGAGAAAACAAGGCACAAAAACAAAAAGCAACACGTGGTCACCAAAATACAATGAAACATTTCAGTTGTAAGTCATAAACCCACCTTACTTATTCCTCTAGGCAATAGTTATTGTACAGCTGACCTTACTGAGGGATTCAGAGTGGGAAGGGCTAAGGAAAATGAAGAAGGCTCTGTTTTTAGTTCCCTTCAATTCATTCAATATCTGTTCAGTGCCTACCATGTATCACCCAATGTTATAGTCATTAGGTGTATATATCATACTAGGTCTCTGAATAAATCTTTTGCAGTACACTCATGTAAGTTACTTTCTACAGATGAGGAATGTATGACACAATCACAAAATATTTGTCATACGGCATTAAATACTATATGCAGAAGTATGCGGTAAGTGCTATGACTAGCTGCTTTGCCTGGGAGGTCAGGGAAGCCTGAGCATGTGACTTTTAAACTGAAACCTGTACAAATAAAAAGTCAACCAGACATGGAAAAGCAGAACATTTCAGACCAAGTGAAATAGCCAGTACAAGGACTCTAAGGCAAGAACAAGTCGGGGATATTTAACAAGCAGCACGTCATATATAAAGGAGTGAGATCCAGTTACTTTGGAGAAGAGGTCAAGGTACAGATTCCGTGTCACACAGGGCTATGCAATTCTAAATTCAATAGGTGGTCCACTGAAGGGTTTTCAAATGAAGAGATGAACAATATGATTTACATCTTTGTTGTGTACAGAAATAATTATATGGTGGTAAGACCAAATATGTAAAGATCAGTTAGAAGGTTATTGCAGTAGTCCAGGCAATAGCTATTAGTGACTGACTAGATTGTAGTAGGGAAGTAGATGGGGAAGATTCTCTATCATGTGTGGAAAGTAGATTCTTGCCATAGGCTAGAGGTAGAACATGAAAGAGAAATTCCCAAGAACGCTCAACTTAGAGTAAATCAAAATGAGCTTACTTACAAAGGGGTTAAGTGTAGGGAAATTTAAGTAAGTAATAATGGGACCTGGGGCTAATAGTAACCAGACCATTACCATGCTTATGCCTGAAAAGAGTAGAGAAAGAGTCATTACTAAAATTAGGAAAGTGAAAACTTGATGTATAGTCAGCCCTCAGCTGCCTTGAAAGCGGCAGTGACAGTCCATGGAGGGCAACAGCCTACTGGAGGCAGCCTCAGAGGCAAAGAGCCAGGGAAATAAAGACTCTGACTTTACTCTCCTCACTGCCAACCTTTTCATGGGGTTCCCTTTTGGCCAAAATCTACTGGAAGCAAGAAGAAACCCTACTGAGGCAGTCCCAACAGATGAGTTTTCCTATTGCAAACAGCAAAAAGTAGGATGGATCCACAGGGGGCAAGTGGGAGACACCTGGCACTGAATGAAATCAAGGATGATCCCTAATTTTTGCCATAAGTAGTTGGGAAGATAGTAATTTACCAAGATGGAAGATGATAAAAATGTTTTAAATCTATTAATTTGGAGATGGCTGTTAGACTTTCAAGGGATGTCATTTAATTCAAGAAATACTCTAACCTAGGAATGGATACATAGAGAAGTTACAAGGCCTAGGACAAAGCCCTAAGGATTTATACGCCAAAACAGTCCCTTACAGGTTTTTTGTTCATGATTTCCTGTAGTCGTTTCAGCACTCAGCACTCTGCTCTGAATATTTCATCCTCTTATCACTTAATAAAACTGAAGTATCCTACTCTATCAAAAGGGTCCTAATAGATCACATTTCCTGCTAATAAACCAGCTTACAACATTTCACTATCTATCTACTTCTCCACCTTACACAAAAACCTGGACCCAACTAAAGTTTCTTGTTAGTAAAGGCAGCATTTTGAATTCAAGAGATCTGGTTCCCATCATATTTTGCTCTTCTACTCTTACCCCTAGGCTTCCACATTATTTCAGATACTCCCTAAAGCACAAAGTTTAGTTACCAGTGTTTCCTGGAAATGACAGTTTGACTCTGCAAAATGTTTCATCAGAAAAAAGTCACCTGTAAAAGGAAGGGATTTGGAAGCTGGTACTGCTGAGGGCTAGATGTACAGTCATTAGAAAGTCAAGAATATGAAAAAGAATGAACACAAATAAGGAGTGGAGGAAGACTGTCTACTATATCACCACTGGGCCTTCTTTATTACGTTGACTGACAACCTGTCTTAGGTGGCTGTGAGGAGAGGCCACACACTTGACAGGTCTAACTGTTACCCTAGGAAAGAATTGGCATTGAATCACCAGGCTCTGCTGGAATTGATTTACTCTGGAGATTTGTATCCAATTTAGCATATTGTGACTAGTGCTTGATGGGCTGTGCAGTGTATTCCCCTGAGAAAAGACTCCTAGATGTAATAGCTTATTCAGGATTTGGAGGTAAAGTGAGAGTAGTAACTGATATTGACATGGCATAGAAATTCTACCAAGAGGTACCCATTACCCTGGCCTAGCCCTCATGACTCCTGTCCAACTCCACTGTACCTGCAATCAGGAGACCCTGCCTCTACTGATTAATTCCCATTTTTTGTCTAGGGAAAAAGTAATTTTAAAATTAGCCTTCTAAGTCAAATTCAAAGGGTTACAATACACTGATATTCTATTTGCCAACATAATAATCAGATCCAATTGTATACAATTTTCAGCAGTATTTGAGAACCGTATTGATGCTTAGTGGAAGTAAAATTTTTGCTCAAAATTTGTATTTTTAATCCACACAGCATTCTGGGAAAGGAAAATCGACCAGGGGCTTATGAACTTCATCTCTCAGTTAAGGATTACTGCTTTGCCAGAGAAGATCGAATTATCGGAATGACAGTCATTCAGCTACAGAACATAGCAGAAAAGGGAAGCTATGGGGCATGGTATCCTCTTCTGAAAAATATCTTTATGGATGAAACTGGTTTGACTATCCTTAGAATACTCTCTCAGAGGACCAGTGATGATGTGGCTAAAGAATTTGTAAGACTTAAATCTGAAACAAGATCTCCTGAAGAGAGTGCTTGAAACAAACACTGCAAGCTAAATTCATAACTATAATTGTTTGACTACTGCATGCATGTGCATATACATGGGAATGTTTATTTCACTACATTTCAATGTTTGCCAGTACTCATGTACGATGTCTACAAGGTATGTTAAAAAAAACCTGCTGAACTTTTATATCAATTCTGGTCTTTGGGAAATAAGTGTTCCAATGAAGTGCCAAAATTATGATGTAAAGTGAAATATCAAGAACACCTTTTAACATGTTTATTTTGTTTCTTTACCTATTTCACATTCACGAAACATAATTTTAAAAACTAGTCTTTTGGGTTCGCCCATCAGTTGTCTTTGTTAAATTAGTTTATATTGCCCATAGATCAGAAAACATTTATTACTCAATTTCCATTTTATTTACTTACCTCATTATAGATGTCTTACAAATACCCTTTTCTACCATAACTAGAAATGCAGTCACTTCTAGAAAGCATTTGTAATTTTATAGTTGCAGATATATTGTGATTTTTGCATACAAATTAAAATAGAAAAGGTGGGAAATATTTTCTGCTGACCAGTTTCCAACCTTTCTGAAATATCACTGTGAAGAAATGCTGTTAAAGCAGACTTACACAAAGCAATGCTAGAGTTTGTTAACAATGTTTGATATATATTGACAAAAAACTTTGTTCTTTAAAACTGCCAAGGTCACATCACATTTGTAAAAATGGTAAGTTAATGCATTTGTCATATACTGTTATGTCTTAGCTTTACCGTATTTCATTCTTTAAAAAGTCATTGGGTTAATGGTTTAGAAATGGGATGGAAGGTTCATTGAAAAATACCTGTAAGTAACTATCTTGTTAATATCTTCCGTCTGACAGTTATGACTCTATAATCAGTTCAATGCTTTCTTTTTAAAAATATTCAATGATTGATTAGTATTGAATGCAATATTCCTATATATTGTACTGATGCCAAAAGTCATGCTTTCATCCATTTAGTGAAAAAATAGTAAAATTAAGTCAGAAGAAATTGCTCTCAATTTTGTAATTTGTATTTATACGCCCCAAATGCATCAAATGCAGTAGGAGAATAATATAATACAGCTTGGTACCTAAATATAGCTAAGTTGGTTTTTGAATATAAAAGTTTATGAATATTTGCATTTTCTGTATTTTTATGATTTGACTTTTTAGAGTCTATGCCAACATATATGGCTGTAAAACAGTACTTTGTAATTATAACTTATGGTCATAACTGTTAGTGGACTACTTACAGAAGCAAGAGCCTGTTATAATGACTGTACTTTGTGAACAGGCTGATCTAATATGTTAAGTACAGAAGTGCTGAGTATCATGACTGTCAGAACCATTCTGCTACTGAGTGAGTGTGAAATCACAGACCAGTGATGTTGGCTAATTCATGTTAAACTGTTAGGCCATTGCTTTGTTAATGACTTCTCTAAATGCATAGTGTGATGCGATCCTCTGGCATATGCTTTAATAAATGGATGTATATTGAGCACATGCAGCACTGTATTGTATCTTCTGCCTTTTTATTTCATTTATGCAACATCATCTCATTAGTTAGGAATAAAACCTCCAGGCTCTTTTGACCATATGTAATAGTCTTCTTCTTATCTGGTTCTAACATCTCATTAAAAGTTTAGATGTCAGAATGGCTATTATTAAAAAGTCAGACAACAGATGCTGGCAAGGTTGTGAAGAAAAATGTTTATACACTGTTGGTGGGAGTGTAAATTAGTTCAACTATTATGGAAAGCAGTGTGGTGATTCCTCAAAGAACAAGAAACAGAATTACCATTTGAGTAAGCAATCCCAATACCGAGTACATGGCCAAAGGAATATCAAGCATTCTACCGTAAACACATATGCACATATATGTCCACTGCAGCACTATTCACAATAGCAAACACATGGAACCAACCTAAATGCCATCAACAGTACATCAGATAAAGAAAATGTGGTACCTATACACTGTGGAATACTATGCAGCCATAAAAAGAATAAGATCATGTTCTTCACAGTGACATGGATGGAACTGGAGGCCATTATCCGAAGCAAACTAACACAGGAATAGAAAACCAAATACTAATCACTTACAAGTGGAAACTAAATGATGAGGACACAAGGACACTAAGGGGGCCACAACAGACACTGTGGCCTACTTGAGGGTAGGAGGAGGGAAAAGATAAGAAAAAGTATCTGTCACGTACTAAGCTTATACCTGGTTGACGAAATAATCTTTATGCCAAAACCCCCATGACATACAATTTACCTATATAATAAACCTGGGCATGAACCCCTGACTCTAAAACAAAAGTTAAACAGTTCCAATGTTAAAATTCATTCCACAGGTATTGCGTTCATGAAAACCAGTATATATTGTAATGACGAGGAAAATAAGGAAGAACTAACGTATCTACCTATAAATACTGTTTAGCCCCATGAACAAAATTCAACACGCAACATGGTTAAAATCTTACATTGTAAAAGTTTCCATCAATTACTTGAAAAATTCATTCTAGATTTATGTAATAAATATTTTACAGAACATTGACTTAAGCTCTTTTGGAGCACATTAATGTCATAATGCATGATACATTTGAGTAAAAGGCAGTTAGGATTTGCATTGATCACTTTAAATTGAGCAAGGTATTTTTTCCCTGACATGTTTAATGGCATCCAATTATTCTGTCCTTTACAAATGTATAAAATATATATCAAAGGCTAATAGTGGCAGGGTGAATTAAGTCTATTTATTACTATCATAAAGTACAGGTACTAATTTTGAAATGATTATAAATTCGGTAGACTCTGTTTTCCTCTCAAAGCACAAGTATTCCTGTTGTCTTCAGAACAAAGCCTGTTATATTTACTTATCCAAATTAGTAGTCACCCTAAGGTTCCCAGTGATCTCTGTCAATTGAGTGCTGCACTAATGTGGGTAGCAATTTATTCATCTTATTCTAGATAAAACACACAAAGGCAAAGCTCTGTTACTCGTCTATGGATAAACCTCACATTACAGGTCTTTAAAGATACACACGTAAATCAAATTTAGCAAACACAAAGTATTTAAACCCAGAGTGGAGTATTTGCTATTCGAAGGAATTTGAATGCATTAAGATAAGTAATCAGATGTCCCCATTACAACCTGCTCTAATTTATCTACTTGTAGGATAATTTATATCGTGAATTTACCTTAAATGAGGCACATTTATAAATGACAGTTCTAGCTTAATGTCTTTTATTTGGTCTTTTTTAAAAACAATGCTTGAAACAAGATTTTCTCCTTTTAATTTATCTACATAAAGATACAACTATACTAGCTAGCCCCTTTAGAGACTAATATAGCAGCTTTAATATTTATACTCAAAGAATAAATGATCATACTTATACCTGACTCAGGGAATATCCTTGCATAAATGTCGAATTCCACCTACTTCAGAGAATTCTTGGGCACACAGGCAAGACACTGCCCTCCCCTGATATTACCTGTGTTTACACTCAAGTCCTTTGTTTGAAATAGCTGCCTCTTTGCTCTTGCCTCCACTGATCACTTCTCTCTCTGGTTCAGACTTCTGGAATGTGATTTTTAGAATTAAAAACTAGGACATGTGATATGATCGAGACTCAATTCCAATTTGTTAAGGTTAAATAATATACATTTAAGAGTGCTCATGTTTTTTCACATCATGACAACTGTGAAATCAGGATACATGTATAATTCTTGGGAATGTTATGGTTTAATTGGTGTTTTTTTTCTCCCTTAATAGTACATATTTCTTCTTATAATGAATGACTTCTAGGCATCAATAAGCGTATTTATTAAAAAGTATATACAAGTTGATGAACATAAAGTAATGCTTAGTTGTCTATTTTAAAACAGTTTGGCTGGGCACGGTGGCTCACACCTGTAATCCCAGCACATTGACAGGCCAAGGCAGGCAGATTGCTTTGAGCTTTGAAGTTCGAGACCAGCCTAGTCAATGTGGAAAACCCCATCTCTACAAAAAAATACAAAAGTGAGTCTGGCATGGTGGCATGTGCCTGTAGTCCCAGCTACTTGAGAGGCTGAGGCTGAGGCAGGAGAATCGTTTGAGCCTGGGAAACAGAGGTTGCAGTGAACCAAGATGCATCACTGCACTCCAGCCTGGGTAACAGAATGAGACCCTGTCTCAAAAATATATATATTTTTTAATTTGCATATACTAAAATTATCTCTTTTGGCGTACGTTTCTATGTTACGACAAATGCGTAGTCATGTATTAATCACCACAGTCAAGATACAGGACAATTCCATCATGCCTCAAAATTCCACATTACCACTTCATAGACAAACACTTTTCCTACCAACAACGCTCTACAGCACTGGTCCATTTTACGTTTTGTGTATTCCACAATGTCATACAAACGGAATTATACAGTATATATTCTTTTGAGCCTGTATTATTTCACTTGGCACAATGCACCGGATATTCATCTACATTGTGGCGTGTATCAATTATTACCTAGTTTTTATTGCTGAACAGTACTGCATTGTATGAACATTAAAAAGATTTCATTCACCACTTACTACACTGACATTGTTTGTTTGGTAATATTATGGACAAAGCTTTTATAAACATTCACATACAGGATTTTGAGTATATTTGTTTTTATTTTTCTTGGGTGATTATCTATTAGAGTGTGATTTCTAGGTCTTATGATACATATATCTTTAACTTCATGAGGAACTATCAAACTTCTTTGAAAGTAGTTGTAAAATTTTACATTTCCAGCAGCAATGTATGAGAGTTTCAGTTGCTCTGCATCTTTGCAAGCACTGGGTATCATCAGTTCTTCTTTATTTTCATTCTTCTAATATACACAAAATAGCATCTCAACATGGCTTCAATTTGTATTCATCTGAGGACTAATAACATTGAGTATCTCCATATGTGCTTATTTGAGATCCATATATTTTCTTTAGCAAAGTATCTGCATATCTTTTGCCCATTTATTTAATGAGTTGTTTATTGTTGAGTTTGGGGACATATTTGTGTATTCCATATACAAACCCTTTGTCAGATATGAAATTTGCAACTATTTCATCCCAGTCTGTGGCTAGTGTTTTCGTTTTTATAACAATCTCTTTCAGAGAACAAAAGGTTTTCACTTCCAAAAAGTCGAATTTGATGAAGTCATTTTTTGCCTTTTATAGATCATAGCTTTGCTATCATAAGAATTACTTGCCTCACTCGAGGCCAAAAATATTTTCTCCTATGTTTTCATATGGAAATTTTATACCTTGGGGTATTACAATTTGGCCTATGATCCATTTAGATGTTGTTTTATAGAGGGTGTAAACTTCAAGGTTCATCTATAATTATTAAATTACAATTGAGTAATTAATTAGAAACTAATTTTCAAAGGCACGTCCAATTGTTCCAGCACCACACCATTCATTAAAAATACTACACTTCCCCTTTTGAATTGCCTTTGTACCTTCATCATAAATCAATTGACCAAATGTGTGCGGGTCCATTTCTGACATCTCTAGTCTGTTCCATTGATCTAACACTATACCTTATCACCAATGTGACACTGTAGTAATTACTGTAGCTTTATACTGTGTTCAACTCAGGTAGTAAGAGTTCTCCATGTTCTTCTCTTCAAAACAGTGTACTATTCTACTACTTCTCCCTCTCTATAAAAATTTTAACAGCCAGCCAGTCATGGTGGCTCATGCCTATAATCCCAGCACTTTGGGAGGCCAAGGCGGGCAGATCACCTGAGGTCAGGAGTCTGAGACCAGCCTGACCAACATGGAGAAACCCCATCTCTACTAACAATACAAAATTAGCCAGACGTGGTGGCACATGTCTGTAATCCCAGTTACTCAGGAGGCTGAGGCAGGAGAATAACTTGAACCCAGGAGACGGAGGTTGCAGTAAGCCAAGATGGCACCACTGCACTCCAGCCTGGGCAGCAAGAGTGAAACTCTGTCTCAAAAAAACAAAACAAAAAACAACAACAACAACAAAATTAACAGCCTGCTGGGATTTTGACTGAGAACTTATTAAATACATACACCAATTTACAGACAACCGATGTCTTAACAATATTGAATCTTCAATTCATGGGCACAGTATATGTCTCCACTTATTTATGTCTTTATTGATTTCTTTTTATTACTGTCTTATGGTTTTCAGCATACAAATCCTACCAAGGATTTCTTCTGTATGTGTACAAGAGTGTAAATGTTACTTTGAGAATAAAATCCAAAATCCAATTGTTCATTTCCTGTACAACAGAAAGATTTTTTGTACATTGATTTGGTATCCTGAAACCTCAATAACCTCATTTTATTAGTTGTAGGATTTTTTTTTGATTTCTTGGGATTTTGTACATTAATAATTATTAAAGAGAGGCAAATATTTTTCTTCCTTTTCACTCTGTACACATATTATTTCTTTTTCTTTCCTCAGTGCACTTGCTAAGGCTGCCAGTCTGACTTTATATAGGAGT